TCATAAATTAATTAATGGCTTGTGTGACTGCAGTGAGCTATTATTTAGACTGAATTTTTTTGTCCCTCCTAGACTTTTAAGAGACCAAAGAACTTTTGAACTGCGTCAGCATAGAACTCTTTATGGCCAGAATAGTGCAATAAATAGAATTATGAAAATCTGTGACAACTGTGAGAAAGATTTATTTATTGTGTCACAACAAAATCTGAAGAAGTACCTAAAAAATCGTGATTGTCAGTGATTTATATTGTGTAGTCTCATTTGTATTTAGTCCCCAGTACATCGAATTTTGTAACTCATGTACACGCCCAACTTCCTGAGCGGCTTCATAACACCAAGTCGGACAATATTTTTCATGTTTCCACCCTGGGCGATGGGACATTGCTGCGCTAGCTCTTCGTGAAGTTGTCGTTCTGACGTCCCTAAGGAAGTTGATACATGTACGTGTAGTTTCAATGCCAATCGATTGTTTTTTGTATTACATTAACGATATCATATATGTCGGACAAAAATCACGTGGCTTCGGGGGGGTCCGACGCTCTCAACATGTCGCTGTGGCGTCCCTAAGGAAGTTGATACATGTACGTGTGTTTTTAATACCAATCGACAGTTTTTTACATTACATTAACGATATCACATTTGTCGGACAAGAAATTTGAGACAATCAATGAAAAAATTAAAATTAGTTTGCCTTAACGCAACATGCATATTAGTCAGTTTATTATTTACCTACTTTGTCAAATACCTGTGGGGCCCTGTGTCATATTCCCTAATCTGTTTTTTTGATAGTTCTCCGAGCATTTACGGAAATTATTCAGTAAACGGTCATTCAAAACCACGCGTGTGAGAAAGAATGGATATTCAGTCGTGTTTTTTGTGCAATCTCAGGAGTGAAGATCCTGAATTTCGGCAGAAATTGCTCAAAACGACTTTTGTTGTCCGACTGACTTTAATACTCATTTTATTTGTCCGACATTTACTGCACATGTTTTAAAAATACATCGTTATTCATAATTATTTTTGTCGGACATACATGTGTCAACTTCCTTAGGGACGTCACAGCGACATGTTGGGGGCGTCGGACCCCCCCAAAGCCACGTGATTTTTGTCCGACCTATGTGATATCAATAATGTAACATAGAAAACAGTCGATTGGCATCAACTTCCTCAGGGACGCCATAGCGACATGTTGATGGCGTCGGACCTTCCCCAAAGCCACATGGTTTTTGTCCGACAAATGTGATATCGTTAATGTAATGTAAAAAGCAGTCGATTGGCATTGAAACTACACGTACATGTATCAACTTCCTTAGGGACGTCAGAACGACAACTTCACGAAGAGCTAGCGCGGCAATGTCCCATCGCCCAGGGTGGAGATATGAAAAATATTGTCCGACTTGGTATTATGAAGCCGCTCAGGAAGTTTGGCGTGTACATGAGTTACAAAATTTTAGGGTCGATGTACTGGGGACTAATTGTGATTGTTAAATTTTTATTTTTGCTTTTGTTTATATACCCACATGTTGTTCAGCAAGTGTTTTGAAAGAGATAAGCTTTTATTATTAGTTGTCATTTAGATTTAGCCAATCTGCGGCGTGTATTGTTTCTATTCTTTTTTAGTTTTAGATTAGGTTATAGTACTTATTATCTCATTGTTACTGTAACCAATTGGGTCCAGCGTGTCTGTACAAATAAATAAATAAACTACGATGTAATCTGCTTTCCAGTCACATTGATTTGTGACTTGGGTGTGATTACGACATGGTCGCTTTTTCCAAAGGGTGCATGTGATAACTTTTTTCATTGATTAGTATAAGTGGATAGATCTAGTAATGATATATGAGTCTTCATTCTCTTCATTTCTCAAAATCTGTATCTTTATCTACTATTTTGAGGTTCTTTTTTTAAAGAATGAAACCTCAGTTAATTTCCCTACCATAAAATTTTTGATATTTCGTAGTCAAAAATCGCTTCAATTAAAAAAATTTAACAGATTCCCTAAGAAAAGCTGCATTTTTCTTAGAACATCAATTAACTTTTGTACCATCAAAATCGCGAAAATGAAAAAAGAAAGTTGGTTTTTCTCGATTTTTGGTTTAGATACTTTCTCACAAAGGATAACGCACGGCTAACATGGGAGTTTTGGGTTCTATGGATTTTGGCAATTTTTTGATACCAGGTAAGAAATAAGAGGTAACCATCTCCAGGAACTGAAGCAAATTCTAACCATCAGAAAAAAAATCAGAAAATTTCTTTCAATTTGGCAACACTTTTATTTATTCATGGACGATCAGTCTCTATTTCCGACTTGGAAAATAATGTAATACCTAATAAGGATGCTTTTTGCTATGAAAAAAAAAGTGTATTAATGAACGAATCAGTTATCTTAAGATAAAGAAGATTTCTTGATTTTTGATTATTATGGATTTTCTCCAAAACATGCAGTTCAAAAGACCAAAAATCAGAAATCAAATATCGAGAAGTTCAACAAAGATGTTTTTTTTTGCCACTACATATTATGTATGTACCTACTACTCAACCAACGGAGCAAACTACTTTCTTATTGTTAGTTTCAAATACATAATTGGTATATTTTGTCATTTCAAAAATTAATAAGCAAATAGTTACTGGCATATTATTTCAACAAAGTAACAGCGGCATTGGGACCACGAATTGTAAATTGGTATAAACCAATCATTGCTTGGGCTCTAACGGCATAAAAGAAAAGCAAACAATATCTCCTTATAACAACACCATTAGTGGGCTTTAATATTCAAATATTACTCGCTTTGTTTACCAAATTAATATAAAGTTCCTTTTTAAATATCAAACCACTTAGTTAATTTATAAAAAATAAATGCCTAGTGTTTGTCCATAAATCGATAATTTTGAATATATGAGCCCTATTTAATCAAATATCAATAACATGGAACAATTTTTCAATTTTATGAAATCCAGATTGATGTTCTATAATGGGATCACGATCCGTCGGGTGCGCTCCAATTTTCTCTATATCTGACTCAATTCTTCATTTCATACATGCTTTTTTAAAGCATCGGTAAAATTCCTGATCCACTTAACTGATCTCTTTTTTCTTCCTTTTTCATCTGCCTACCCTACCTACATAATATATTCTCTTCTCATTTGTTAGTACACCAAACAATCAAATAAAAGAAACCTAAGTGATTCTTGTTTGCCTAACCATTATCTTAGCAAATGTTACTTATTCTAAGTAACAGTTTCACCATGACAAATATAATTAAAGTTAAACAACTCTTTTATATTAAGAATAACTCATATATTATTGACAGTTTGTAATGCAAACACTTCGAGAGACCTTCCGAGATTTGTTATTTGAGAACCGAATGCTCTTTCGCTTCAGCAGCCGGGACTTTCGAGTACCGTAATCTGTTTAACATTGGAAGTATGGTTCTAATGTTGATGGATGGTTAATTATTGTTGTGGTTAATATAAATTTTGTTTATTTTGTTAATACATAGTTTGAAATAATTGATAATAAATACAATTTTATTAAGAAAGTGCAATTAGGGTTTTACAAAAATTCAGTTTCTGCTTCAATTTTTTAGGTCATAGTTTAGTTTCCCCAAGTATTCTCATCATATTTGATATACTTACGAATGAGTGAGACTATTGCACATAATAATTTCTGAGAACAAATTGATTGAACTTATAATTAGGTGATACACATTTTAAAAACAAAATGGAATATCCGAATTTTACTCTGAATTGCATGTGATATCTGAATTACACATGTAACTGGTTTAGAGGGGTCCAAAACTTGCTCTGAATGGTCTCAAAAAGAAGTTTCAGCTCGCAAAATTGAAACTATTCATGTCAAAAAACAATTAAAACTTAAGAAAGACTGCTATTTGTTAACCTACATTCAGGCTAGTTTTTCTTCTTTGGCAACTGAGAACTATTGAATTTAACACAGTCTATGAAGAGTGTTGAAATGGAGAAACTGAGGCTACTTGAATTCTGTCCAGTCTCTGGAGAAGCCTTAAAAAGCAGAGCCTCCAAAACTGATGCCAAAATCTCAGGCTGGTTCTTTTCCTTTACCAACACATCAGAAAATTACATTTAGGAAAAATTGAATTAAATTTCAAAAAATCTATAGATTCAATTACACAGAAAACGTAGTGATAAATTCAAAAAAAATAGCAAACAATTTCAGATTTTTGTCAGCGTCAAGGTACCAGAATTGAATAAACATGGATAATGAAAATAGAAATAGTATTGTACAGATCCATTTTTCTTGTTTAGAAGTATCTACCTACATATTTCAAAATATCTGAGGAGTTTCGATAAGCTGGAACTGCACATGACTGGCTTTTGGAAGAAAATCGCGGATCGAAAACAAGAATAACTGAAAAAGTTTCTACGTGAAAAATTATACGTATATTTATGCAAAACCCTCTAGGTATAGCTTGATTTTCAACGAATATCATAATAAGAAGATTCATATTCTTCCCAACCAACAATAATTTACACATAATTGGAGCCATATCTTTAATAGGGTTGGCATTGGGAGAAGAAAAGATGAGGGTCGTTGAAAAGTGAAGATGTTAGGGATTGGTTGAGGAGCTGCATAAGGGCATCCGTAATAACGGTCACGCGATTTAGCTTCGGTTCTTGAAATTATTATTGCATATTGCATCTGCACCTTCAAGTGTCCTTAATAGAGGAGGAAGAGTTTGCAGGAATTTTACAAAGGAAGAGCAGTTGCAGGCAACCTTTAATCTCCTCATTGCAGGTGATCAGACCAACATGAGTTTAGATTGAGATATTTGGAAAAATGTGCATGGAATTCATGTAGGTTTATTAGACTTCTTCTTGCATTACTTTCGTAAATTTTTTGTTCTTCTATAGTTACCATCAAAAAATGATAGTGATATGGATCTTTTGTTTCATTTCACTAGCAACTCTATCGTCAATAATTATTATTACAACAAAGTAATTTAAAAATTGTAAATTCTTACTTGGACTAGAAGGATTCGAGGAATCTGAAGCGACAAACGACGACTTCTGATGATGAACAAACGTTGTCGGCGCAGCGCCCATTTCTAAAGGTGCTGCAGATTCGGGCGGTGTTAACGGCGGTAAGGCGGACTCGCCCAAAACTGACGGGGTCGGAAATATGATGCCCAATTCGCGAGCCTCGTTCTCTTCTTGGGCTTGTTGTCTTCGGAGGGCGACTTGGGCTGCCATAACTCTTTGCCTTTCGGCGATCAGGGTGCATTTGGCGCAGTTGCAGTCTCTCCATCGACAGTACCTGATTTGAATAGAAAAATAAATAGTAACTAATTTGTTCAATGGTTTTAGGAGGTATAACTTATTTCGACACATACTAATATAGGGATTACAAATTTTTTGATTGAATAGTAGATTAAAATGACGCACAACACATTTATTGCGATAAGTCTAGCTTAACATTAAAGAATTTAAAATAAATTAATTTCAACTACTGAATAGGAATCTGGCAGTATTTTTTAACACATTCTTAAAGCCTATAAACCCTTATAATTAGAGCGTTGCGTTGCTAGGATTAGAGTCGTTTGCAAAACCCTCAGACACGTGCATGTTAAAACCAGTGGCGTATTTGTCTTCGACATAATGGGTTTTGGAAAAAAATATAGTTCATTCATTTAAGTTGCGTGATGAAGTTTATTGCCGCACTAGTGATGGAACAAGTTTTGTTAGAAAGATAAAATTTTGTACATTACAGTGAGATTATAGATGAAGTTCTCACAATACTCCACACTCGTGAATAATATTCAGAAAACAGCTAGGTACATAATATGTATTAATGGAAATATTTAATGCATATATATCAATACGTAACTTAAGTTATAACCCTAAATGCATGGAACATCAGTTACTGATATGTGAAAGTTTTAGTTTAACAAAGACTAACTTAACACATTAGTCAGAATTTAAAATATAATGATTAAAGTAGTGTCCCTCTATTAATTGAAGATAAAATCTCGTAAATAGTCCCTTTAGATTTGATATTTCATACAAAACAAAAAATAATAAAGGATCATATCTAAATATCTGTTGTGGTAAATGATAAGATCAGAAAAAAAATCAAATATTATAGGGTGTGTGTGTCGGCGGTGTCCTCAATCCACTTCAGCCCCTCTTTATCATCCACCCTTTCCTGTGTTCCTAATTCTATGCAAATTATGACCCTCCGGTTGTGGACAAATTGATTATCTGATAATATGAATACAATGATGAGTGACGGGTGGTTATACTTAATAGTGTATGTTTGAGATGGGAAATTTGAGTTTTAGCAGACGTTTAATATGATATCTATGATGATTAATTATTGTATTATAACTTATAAGAAGATAGCCTTCATCAGGTATAAAAAAGTCTTAAAATGTACCAAGAAGTTGAACTAACTGACTAACCAGTTATTTCTGGAGAGAAAAAACATCAACCTTCGAGATTTCTCTTTAGTAACTGTATTTTTGCTGAGGAATTTTTTCAAGTTTTACTGTATCTAATTCATTCCTAATCCTTTTTTTTTTCTCGGCCTTCTAAGTTATTTTTGATTTCTATAAATTTTTTGTTCTGCATGACAAGATGATTCAAATGTGAAACACCGACTCAGTAGAGTAAAGTGTAGATTACAAAGTGTATGCAAAACTTTGATACCTAGACCCTTGGTTTTGGAGGAAGAAATGAGGAATTTCATTCAACCTATTTTCAAAGACGTGTCAGTTATAAAAAGAGTTGCTACTGGAAGCGACTACCGCATGGTAGTCTCAAATAAACCTCGAAAATAAACGAACCAGACTGATTGAGAAAAAAAATCCCCAAAACATGGACACACCCAAAGAAAATAGGAAATTTTTCAAAAAAATATCGAAAATCCCTTCAAAAACAAAGCAACAACTTAAAGTGTAATAATGACTTAAATGAAAACATAATTGAAACACTAATGGATGCACAGAAGTACTGCCCAAAAAATCCTAAACAAGAAAAAAATCAGCCCAGAAACCCAAACAAAAATCGAAGAACGTAGAGCATTTAAGGGGAAATCAAATTCAGACCAACAAAAACTGAGAGAGATTATTAGAAATTAACAGAGACATATAAAAAGCACCGAGGAAAGAAATCAAGAAATACAGATATGACAAAGTAGTACAAATAATAGAACAAAACAAAAGCCTGAAAGTATTGAGAAAACACCTAACAAATGGTAAAAAAAATCCAACTTAAAGACAAGGAAAGGGAACATAACATCAAATCGAGAACAAATAATAAAGATCATAGAAGAATTTTACAAAGAACAAAAATCCTTACCCCGACCTAACAACTCATTACCTACACCACATACAAAACGAAAGATCAGAAGACATTCCCAATATCACGAAAGAGGAAATTAACTATGTCCTGAAAAAAATTAAAAATAATGAAGCGCCTGATGAAGACAAAATAGTGGCAGAAGTTATAAAAATAGGAAGATCGGTCTTAATAGAAAAGATACAAAAGATTTTCAACCTATGTTTTCACAAAGAAGAGATCCCGTCTAGATGGAACAATGCGATTACTATCCTCCTCCATAAAAAAGGGGACATAACACAGCTCAACAATTATATACAGACCTATTAGCTTCCTAAACCACATCTATAAACTGTACACCCGGTATCAAGACTAGAAGCTAAGCTCGATTTTTATCAAACAAGAGACCAGAGCTCGACTGGGACTCTGTAACGAATAGAGATATTTTCTCTATCGCCATTGACGTCCTCTCTCTATTGATTTCGAAAAGAGAGAAGAAGACAGCAAGTGCCGTAGCGATAGGGATAACGATCTCTATCCGTTACAGAGTCCCAGCCGGCTGACTTCCGCTCCGGATATGGGACAAATGACCATTTGTAATGCTTAAAAACACTTATTAAGAACTAAGAAGACCGTTGAATACAATAAACCACTAGTGTTGATATTTGTAGATTTAAAAGAAGCCTTTGATACAGTCGAAATGAGCGAAATCTTAACAGCCTTGGAAGAATGTAGGATAGACTATCCGATATACCAACATCATTCAAAATCTTTAAAAATGCAACAACCACCTTAACAATACATAAAACCACACACAAAATAGATATAAAACGAGGAATGAGATAGGGCGATACTATAGTAGGTACCTACCAAAATTGTTTACAACCCTTTTAGAATATGCCTTTAAAATACTAGAATGGAACAACAAAGGCATAACTGTACATGGAGAAAAACTTAAAATAATCTCCGTTTTGCGGATGATATAGTACTAATCACAGACGACCTACAACAAGGAAAAAGAATGCCAGTTCTCGCCTATGGAGCAGAGAGCTTAACACTTACAAAAGCATCAGCCAGAAAGTTACGTTTCACACAACGCAACATGGAAAGATCGATGCTGCGGAAAAACTCAGAGAGACAAAATAACAACCCACGAGCCCCGAAGAAGAATTATTGGGGTGGAAGACATAATAGAGGAAATCGCAAAATCAAAATGGAGATGGGCTGGTCATGTCGCAAGGCAGAAGGATGGTAGATGGACAAAAAAGTTATAGAGTGGACATCTAGATCATACAAGCTAAACCGAGGAAGACTTCCACGAGATGAACGGATGATCTGAAAAGACCTAATACAAATTGGGTTGCAACCGCTCAAAATAGGGAGAGTGGAAATATCTAGAGAAGGCCTATGTCCGACAGCGGACCGAAATGGCTGGGTAATGATCATGATGATTAATAAAAAAAAAAAAAAAAACAATAACAGCTGTATGCAACAACCTCTTTTAACTTAAAAGCGCTTTTTAAAACTGGTCACTTTTAAGATTCTTTATTCTAAGCTAAGTTTTAAAAAGCGCTTTTAAGTTAAAACAGGATATTGCATACAGCGATAAATAGGTAGTCATATTAGAGAGATATCGGCTCTGTTGTTTATGGTCAGGGTCACAGGATTTGAAATTTCAATGCTTTTTCATTATTTTTTGAACAATGAGTTTATTTACAATTAATTTTTAATTAACCTATCCAAAACACGTGACTTTTACAAGCAAACAAAGGGTATGTGTGCCTCTTGGCGGACATTTTAATTTAAGTTTGACAGCATCTTGGATAGTCTAATTGGACACAATAGTCCAGGAGGTGGCGCCAAAAACATGCAAGAGTTTTCGCAAGGCGGATATTTTCAAAATAGGTCGTACTTTAGTGCTAGAATGCTAGTGTACAGTCAGCACTCACAGTTCCGGGACAGCTGGCTCTGGGACGCGGGCAAAGTTGTAATTTTAAGAAGCATCTAAACTGTTTTCTCTAAGCTCAAAATTTATAGAAATTTTGCACATTATCTGTTTGAAGGTCACAGATAACGTATGTAAATCGTCAAACGTCTAGTTCGTTGCAAAAAGGGGGTCAGACGTCCTCAAAGTTTTTATTTTATGGCATTTTCTTCAAATATTTGTCAAATACCTGCAAAAATATATTTTGACAAGACACCGAAGAAAAAGCCATAAAATAAAAACTTTGAGGACGTCTGACCCCCTTTTTGCAACGAACTAGACGTCTGACGATTTACATACGTTATCTGTAACCTTCAAACAGATAATGTGCAAAATTTCTATAAATTTTGAGCTTTGAGAAAACAGTTTAGATGCTTCTTAAAATTAAAACTTTGCCCGCGTCCCAGAGCCAGCTGTCCCGGAACTGTGAGTGCTGACTGTACACTAGCATTCTAGCACTAAAGTACGACCTATTTTGAAAATATCCGCCTTGCGAAAACTCTTGCATGTTTTTGACGCCAGCTCCCCAACTACAACAAAACATCAATGATAAACATAACATAACCTATAATATTCAACCAGCTGGCCCGTTGTCAAAAATCTGCGCATGCCTATTTGAGAATTTTTTAGGCGTTATCGAAATAGCGCTTAACGCAAATGTTGGGTAAATTACGTTATGCGGTAACGTTATTTCAGTACGCAGTGTTAAAAATCGCGCATACATTTATTGTCAAAATAACGTGGGCGCTAATAGTGCATGACGCTATTTGGGTTACCGATATCTCTCTATTATTGATAAAAATGTGAAGAATCTGTTGTTTGCTCAATTTTTGGTGAAAGAAGCATCAGTGTAGAAGACAATAATGGCATGATTGAAGAAATCCCAGCAGCTGAATTTAATGTCAAGGTTGGCTCTTGTGATAATAATTTATGCTACTAGGCTAGACGATTGGCTAATATATTAACATTATCAGATGTAGTGGAGCTACGAGAAA